CTAAAAATTTAAAAAAGGTCGAAATCCCAATATATTTACAAATTTGTCAATGTTAATAACTAAATAAATATATTTTTATTATATGAACTTTACATGTGTTTGTATCGTTTTGTTGTAATGATTAAACAGTGCTCAAAGGGACATGTGATCATCATAGTACCATGCAATACCCGATATTATCTGGGAAAATGTGTCAACGTTTATGTTCCATTAAAAACTATAAACGTACACCTAATGATATCGTTTTCATGGTATCTATTTTCGAGTTTTAGGATAACACTTGTTGGAACATGAAAATATACATTGTTACTAAATATACAAACTACCTGTTTTAAAATAACACTTGTTTTTGTAATTTGTTTTTTATTTTCATTTTTATATGCAATTTACATCTTCATCAAATTAGCAGATATCATAATCATCATTCATCATAAACAATAGCCTCATTACCAACACATCTCATCATAATTCTCATCATCTTTATTTTTTATGTAAAACATAATCTCATCATATTACATACAATGCATCATCATCATCATCATCATCATCAAAGCAATAGTATTCAATATACTTCCTTTCTGTTTCGATTCATCATAATGTCATTGTATCGTCATAATCATACAGAGAAAAAATACAAAGCAACACTGAGTCATTACCATAAATATTTAATCACATCCTCATCAGCATCATTCATTACCGCATGTCATCCATACTCTTTATCTCATCATTCCTACACATTATATTTTGATCACCTTTAACATGTCACATGACTCTCACATTCCGACATTTACATGAATGTATATTGCACTTTATTGGCTGGACAGACAATAGAATGTAGGAAGAATTAAAGACGTTTAAAGAAAAGAAAAGAAAAATAGAAAAAAATTAGAAACAAAGTGGAAGAAAAGGTTGGGAGGTAGACAAGACATAATATTTGCAGCTTTGCCAAGGACTGGGAGAAACCTACTTGATACATAAATAACAATAACACTGGTACTAATAATAGTAATTTACAAGTAAAAAAACAACAAGAGTGCTCTATATTATAAATCAATTAACTTTTTCCATTTACGCCATTCAATAACAAATTTTTCCTTCGCAGAATCGTCCTTACCTGTTGCAATATATTTTTGAACTCTATAATTGTCTTTAATTATGTTAATTAATGAATTCATATGTAAAGAATTGTGTAAAGACCTCGTTCTGATTATGTCCTGCTTGATAATAATGATAATTTCATGTTCAATCCTGCCTGTTGACAGGAGGATGATTAAAAGATAGCAATCCAAAGAGAAAATATATTTTGTTTATTGAAAAAGGAATGAGTATGGTGCGCACAACTGTGCGATTTAACAATCGTTCGCCCCGTTGTGCGCTTCTCTCCGCACATCTGTGCGATATGGTACAATTTGTTGATCAATATTACGGAACGGAAAAAATACGGAATGCTCGTATGCAATAATGTACACTGTATATATCACTGTAATTTCTCATCACTATAATCAGAGACGTTTACGTCTCTGCTATAATATAGAGTATGTACAAGTTTACAATGCGTATAATATAGTATACAGCGACCGTTAGACTGTCAAGAACGGGTTAGCTCCTCGGTAACAGAACACAGGTAAATAACAATTTGATGAGTGACCGGAGTTTTACCTGGACTGTACTTGACACATAGAACTGATATATGATACCGTATGACCGTTATGAAAACTCAACTGGACGTTTAATATTTGTTATTTGCATTCGTTTTGGTCTATAGCTCCCCTTCATCTGGTTTTCACACCTTGGCGAGTTACGTAATTAACGGTCCAGGTACAAAGTGGCAATGTTTACCTGTGTAGCCGAGACTGTGTTGTAAATTTACACGTGTCGATAAAGTTCGTTTAAAAAGCCCACAAAACACCATTTATTTTAAATTCTTTTTAAAAAGTATAGACAGAAAGATAAGCTTATAGATGTAGCTAGAGTATAGAAACATACTAAAAAATCTAATTTTATGTTCAAACACGAAACCGTATATATTGTCAAGCCATTCCTTAATTTACACCAACCACGATTGTTATCGCCCAACGTTGGTCGATCGTCCGCACAAATGCGCGCAAGGAATGATCGTCCAATTTTTTATCATTCGCACTTCGTGCACACATCGTTCACACATCGTGCACACATCGTGAGCACACCGCACATCGTGTAACGTTGTGCAATCCCACAACTGTAATAGCATTTCAAAACTTTGTAGTAAATTCTGTACTTCATTACTTTTCAACAAAATATGAGTTTCTCTTTCAGAATTACATAAAATACAAAGAGGGGAGGTAACCAGGCCAATTTTACAAAGTGTTGTCAGGATGTGATGAACCACTCGAAACTGAAACCACTGAAGCTTTGTATTTTTTGTAGCATGGAAAGGAATTTTTATTTTTTTTGCCCACTCTGTATCAATTATATCATCAAAGATTTGGTTCCATTTCATTTTACCAGTTGGTATTGCATTATTCCTAATCAAATCATTATAAAACATTTTCGAACCTCTGGCCTACTTGAAAAAAAAGGTTGTATTTTTACTGGTATAAAGGGGGCAACTATGTTGGATTTAGTTAGATCATAAGACGAGATAAACCCCTTAAGTGGAGATGTGAAAACCCATTAAGGGTATAAAAACAACCTGCAGAAGCATCTTTACAAACATCGTATGTTAACCACGCCTTTCTTATACCAATCCGTGTAAAAAAATGTTTTTCCCCCAATACATATGTTTTTGTTATACCAAAGTGGTATTTTCAAGAGTAACTCATCCTTTCCTAAATTGTCCTTTCGCAAACTGTATTTATACCATGATGTAAAAACATCTCTCCAAAATTGGTTTTTACATTTATTCTTGCATAATTGTATATATTCACTACCACAATTTGCTAGCAAATCAGTATCAGTATGAGTTTCCAAGATAGCCTGCCATTTCTCAGTAGTTTGGAATAATCTTAATCTTAACTTAATTTTAAAAAACAAATGAAAGCATCTATATTAATCATCTTTAGTCCTCCATAGTCTTGAATGATAACATCTCTCTTAATTATTTGAACAGGATAGAATTCAACTTTTCAGAATGTTTTCATTTGGATTTGGAAGTGAAATAAAAAGGTGATTAAACTGTAATACCAGCAGTGATTTAATTATATGAATTCTACCAGTAGGTGTTAAAGACCTTCTATTCCAGGTTTTTAGTAATGTTTTTAGTTTAATTAGTTTTTTGTCAAACTTCATCTTTGGAATTTCATGAAGATTAACACTAAACTCAATTCCCAAAAGTGTAGATTTTCTTCTACCCAACTGTAACTGGAGATTCGGTAAAAAGGTTTCATCACAACTTTTTATTACCAATCCAAACTACTTGTGTTTTTTTTACATTTATTTTCGATCCCGAAGTTTTGGCATACTCATTAAGTTCATCAATTGTTTCTGTCAGAGATTTTTCTGATTCATCTAAGATAAGTGAGGTATCATCTGCATATTGGGATGCTAATATTAGACAATTATCAATTTCTATAACTTGGATGTTATCATTATTTCGTAATCTAAGGGCCAAAATTTCAACACAGAGTATAAATAAATATGGGGCGATCGGGTCCCCTTGACGACAACCTCGTTTAATATTAAGAGAAGACGACAGATTACCGCCCTAATTAATGACTGAATAAGCATTTTTATATAAAGTTTTAAATACTATTACCAAATCCAAAGAAATCTTAGACTTTATCAATAAAAACCCAAGACACTGAATCAAAAGCTTTCTCAAAATCTAACGTCAATAACATTCCAGAAGTATCATTTCTTCAGTATATTGCATTATATCATATATGAGCCTTGTGTTTACACCTATATACCGCCCTGAAAGAAAACCAGTTTGATCCCTATCTATTAACTTGTCCAAAACAATTCTTATCTATAATACCTGATACAATTTTGTAAACAATATTTAACATTGATATAGGCCTCCAATTTCTAATAAAATGTCTTGGTTTATCTGCCTTTGGTATACAAGTAATAATTCCCTGCCTTTGAGTTATAGATAATCCNCTTTTTTTTATTCTTCATGTGTTTTAATGTTTTACCAGTTTTAGAATAACACTTGTTGAAACATGAAATTATACAAGCTACCTGTTTTAGGATAACACTTGTTGGAATATGAAAATATACATTATTATTTAATACACAATCTACCTATTTAAAAATAACGATGCTTTACGTAAAATTGAAAATATACCAAGTATCCTCTTTTCGTTGTTTGTTACTCATCACTCTGAACAAAAATATAATGCTTTTTTTGTTTTCGTTGTTCAACATTAATGCCAAAGATTTCATCGTAATTCAATTTAACATGCATGATCATTCATCAGTAAACAGTATCCATTAAGTATAAATACAATGTTAACACGCTTTCAAACACATTTTATCTAATCATATTTACAATGCCTTCAGTCGGACTTTGTGGTTAGTCTTGCAATTAATTAATTTATATAAAATACTACAAAACCAGTTATCTACCATTAAAACAGTGATAAAAATGAACAGATTTTATATGTGGAAAGACCTTGTGCTAGCCCTGCAAATTGATATATTGCGAAGGGAACTACATGAAAAATGTTTCAACAGTTATTTGTTTGAAGGAGAAACAGTTTTACTTTTTAAGCTGATTACGTATCAAAATATCACGACAGCTTAGTGTTACACGAGCTTACATATTTCACAACATTTTACACGAATGTAATATGTCCATAAGTTAACTAATATCAAACGCCAACGCCAATACTCTTCCCGTTTCAGCGAAACCCTTATGGGCTTACTTATACAAAGCATTGCACAAGGTTAGACACCCGTCTGGCGTGTTTACATCATTGCATGCAAGTCATGTCGTCTCGGTGATCGTTAGTAATATGCCGAAAGGCATCTGAAAAACGAAGTATAGCGGAAGCGATTTTTCCCCCCCAAATAGTACTTGAAGAATCGCTGAGTGTATATAAGGGGTATATCCCAAGTCAATCGTCAGTATTTTACACCGTCCAGTGAGGTAAGTAAACGCAAAGCTAAACGATTTCTGAAAAGTTCTCCTAATATTTACAAACCAATATGAGATTTTTTAGTTTATATTTGGAAATTACAATTTAGACTTTTCTTTTTTTCTTTGATATATATATTTCATATTTATATTTCTATGTATTGAAGCAAATCCCTTCAATGCCATTCGTTTTACAGTATGGTTTATATTATTTTTTTACAGATATTCTACCAATATGAGAACCGCCTGTGTCACCCTTTTTGTTGTCGTCGTCGCCCTGGGCCTCAGCGCCTGTCTTGGGCAGGATTGGGATGATGTTTACGATGACGATAACTACTATGGTGTTCCATAGGTTTCGAGCGGATATCCGATGGGATACGGAGGTGGATACGGAGGTGGATACGTCGGTGGATACGGAAAGGGATACGGAGGCGCTGTTGTCAGTGCCCCCTACGCCGCTCCTATGCCAATGTATATGCCACCCCCACCTGCAATGTCCGTGGGAGGATTCGGTGGCGATAGTCTTTTCGGTGAAAACAACGGTTTGAGTAAGTAGCTAAAATCCGGATTCAATGATTCAATTCCTCAAATCAATTAAAAAAAAAAATTGTTTTGCAATACAAACCGTATTTGTAAACAACATGCTTTTAAAAAAGTATTTTTACTGCTGTCAGGTATTTTCATAAACTGATTTTTTACTAGTAATTAATTTTCATTGATCTGAAAAATATTAAAACTACATGCACCGACTTTATATTTATTAATTACGTTTCGTATTTTTCAGTCTTCCTGCTTTTGTTGCTGCCATTCCTGCTCAGTAATTCTAACGGAGGACTCCTCGGTTAATTTGTTATCCAACATGTTATATCTGTCTCTGCAACTACTATATATATATATATATGTAAGTATGACGCAATCTCCATCCGAAACATTCAATTGCTTAGAGTAAGATACAACGTACTTTTTATGCATAAACATTTACTGATTTATTCGATTAATCTTTAAAAATAAACTCTCCGGAATGGAAGACATAACCATGTATAAACATTAAAGAAAATAATTCACATTCAAGGGCAAGCAACACCGATTTGTATTTAAATACAAAAAAAAACCTTTAAAAATAGAAATACAAAAACGTATCCTATCTTGTATTTGTAATTCAATTGACATGAACGAACATTAATAATCATCATGTCTTTAATATATTGTTTTTCTCGTTTCAGGTCTCGCGCAATATCACGTTATGTTAGGCTGATCTGTGGAAATCCCTCTGTTCATTGTTGTGTTTATGTATTCAAATATTATTGTTGTTTCCGCTCATCATTCATCAATAAAAATTGCACAATTAAACATCTGATTTGGACTTAATTTATTATACATACATTTCCCGTTGTTTATGTTAAACATTTTGTTATGATTTAGGGGAATATATATCACTATTTAAAAATTAGAACACGGTTGTGTTTTCTCAAATACAGTTTCTCATTTGCATGATATATTTCTTCATATTTTATTACAAATATATCATCGTTCAATTTTATTTGTGGTAATATGCATTGTCCTAGCTTTTAATAAAATGTTCTGGAAAACATATATTTGAACTGATATGCCTATTATTATTCACAATAATGGACACGATTTTAGTTTAGCGTTATTCGATTACAATGTGATCTTTAAATTAGTCGATGACAATTGTTTCAATTACTTACATTGAAAAGTTTATTACATTGCACAAATATGATACGATGAATGATTAAATACGAAGAGATGTTTTAAGGAAAATGAGGAGATGTTTTTTTTCTGAAAAAAAGAAATTCGTTATGTTGACGAGTCACATGCTACCTGTTAAGCTGACGGTATTGCAAGACAAATATGCTGTTTTATAAACTTATTCCTGTGTTATAAAATACACAATGAAATGCACATTGCATTATTGTTGTGATATGTTACTAGTGTAATCATAACGTCTCAATTGACTTATAATTCAATAACCGATCACAGTCGCTGTTGGTTTCATCCAACAAAAATGAAAAGTTACTTATTAAATATGACAAAATATTAGATGACAAAGTCTCCTACATCCTCCATTAAATGGATTGTATTCACGTGGAGGTCGATGAATTGTGACATTTACTTGGAGTTACTATTTTTAAAAACAGTCGTTCAATATTCTCTTTAAGATCTAACTTCAATGCAGTAATCTTCTCTTGAGGATGTCATTACCTTTCGTATCTGTATTAATAATAAAAACAGCATAATTTCAATTATTATAAATAATCAAATAAAATGTTTTTCGGTGAATAATCTTTTTTCTCGTTCAAATAACCACTAATAACATAAAATAAGAATTACGCGTAATTATATGTCTCGTCTGTCCCCACTTTGTGCATAAGATTCAATGTGTCAAGCATTGTTAGTTTCAGCCGAAGTTCGGAATTTTATATTTTATAAACAAGTTTGGCAATACATCAACATAAAGATAAAAAAAGGCACAAGTGCTAATTGTAATGGGAGCTGGCAATTACAGATGTCCCCAAAACTAATCACACATTCAGAAAAAGAAATGTTAATAGGTGAACGGAAGTCATGAACATACCAAATTTGAGCAAAATCAAAATATATGTGAATTTCGACCAGTCATGCAGGCGCCGGAATACAAAGACTGTCTTGTCAGATCAGAAAACGGAGGCCAAATTTGATTGAAATCGACCAATAACTGAATTGCGAGCAATCAGAAGCCAGTATAGGTGACCATTATGTCAACGTAGAAAATGAATAATGTGGCTGAGTTTGCAGTGACAAAATACACATATATCCAAAATTTGAGCGAAATCAAACAATATATGAATTTCGACCAATAGGAAGCCAACATACGGCAACCATGTTGTCAAATCACAAACTGGACGCCGCAATTGAGTTTGCAATGCTAAAATACATGTATTTTTCCAAATTTGATTGTAATCGAACAATAACTTACTTTTGACCAATCAGAAACCCTTATAAGGTGGCCATTTTGTCAAATCAGAAAACGGATGTTGCAGCTGAGTTCACGGTGACAAAATACACATTGTATAAGTAATTAATAACAAAATGCAAAGATATAAGTATAATCAGGGTTCGGTTATGACAGCACATGTACTTTGTGAGAATTTAAGCTCAACGGAAAACTTTAACAATGCCCAATTAATTACCAATTAATTAACAAAGTCCAATTAACAGGAAATTTTTAGTTCAAATTCTGGATCTGAAATGTGCGTTTGGATGGTTATATATACATACAAGTATATTCCATGTTCCATTATGATAGTTTTTGTACTAAGAGAAAAACATAGGTAGCAGAATACAGTAGAAATGGCCCGACTCTGATAAACAAGGCACATGTCGAGGAAATGTAAACACAGCGGATTTACCCTACACAACACATGTATACATGTATATATATTTGTAAACTGCATTACATTTACAATACATATAAAGCACTGAGAAGTGTATAAACCTCTTTTTTCTATGTATGTCACTTGTGTGAAAACCATGGTTACCACATCAAAAATTACCAAAAAATGCCAAAAAATGCTATTTTTAACCCAAAATTTGACCCCCGCAAGTAGTAATTTTTTTCCTAAGCTCTGTCTGAAATTAAAGATTACCTACCTGGTTGCAGAATTATCTGGGTCGCAGTAAAATTGTAGAACTTGATTTTTTGCAATTTTGCGTCGTGTGCTGTTGTCAAAATTTTACCTCCTGTAAAGCTAGCTTTTCATGTGTACGCACCCTTTCGTATTATGGCCAAAATTTTATTCTCGAACCAAAGAAATCTTCTTTCTTTTTTACAAATGTGAAGCTCACATAGCCCACTTCATCATGCTTATACCAATTTTAGTACAGTTTTATTTTTATATTTTTTTTTACATATCATTATACAGGGGTTAGCCATTTAACAAAAATATCACCCATGGCCACAACCCTCTACTGTACTCTGCTACCATAAGCTTAATTTGAAGCTTAACGGAAAACTTTAACATGGCCCAAATAATTAACAAAGTCCAATTAACAGTAATTTTTTGTTAAAACTCTGAATCTGAAATGTGCATTTGCATGGTTATATAGATATACAAGTATATTCCAGGTTTCATTATGATAGATTATGTACTTAAAGAGCTCAATGTGAAGCTAAACGGAAAACTTTAACATGGCCCAATTAATTAACAAAGTCCAATTAACAGTAAATTTCAGTTCAAATTCTGGATCTAAAATGTATGTTTGGATGGTTATATATAGATAAAAATACATTCCAGGTTCCATTATGATAGCTTATGTACTTAGAGAGAAATTTAGAGTTTAACAGAAATTTTGACTCCGGTAAGGCCGGAAAAGTAACGCCTATGTCTCGCTTCGCTACTCCGTCGCAGGCGAGACAAAAATGATAATCATCACAAGACACAACTGTTTCATAACATGGTAGTTATATGACTCATTGTAATTTAGTCAACAGAACAGGAAGACAGTTATTATAAAATATCGATAGGAGGAACTTAAATTGGAGATGACACGACTTGGCAACATAAATTTAGGGAGACTCTCAAACACAAGATAGTAAAACATGCAAAATTAAACGTGAAAAAAATATTTTTATAAAATAGCATGAACGTGTGTTTGTTATATCCGAATAGGTTGAGTAAAAATGACTTGAAATACATGTCTTAAATATAAAAGGTGCTATGAAATTCAATTGTTAACAAAATTATTCAATGGCGGAATTAGCGCATCTATGATAATTTATTTATGAGTAACTAAGTCTTGTACTATCATAAATACTTAAATCAAGCATGGGCAATTCAGTTTTTATCTAGACATTAAGAAAAAACAAAAATACGTTTTGTTTTATCTGTCTGTTTGGTTGATATATATAAGTTAAACGGTTTTACCTAATGGTGGAGTCAAAAAAGCCCTGTTTTCTGGAATGAGGTTGAACTTTCTGTAGTTGTCCTTTCCGCCATACGACAAACGTTAATCAGAAGTCATTCGGAAATGTCCGTCAAAGTTTGTATTTGCATCATTGTCCCAAAGATTACTCTATCATACCATGGAAATGAACCGGAAAAGTTACCATAAGGACCGAACACGCGCCTTATGGTTTCTAGTGTTATGATTTCCTTACGACATAATGGGTTGATAGGTTCTTGTAGTGGCTGTACAACGAAATGTAAACACTGATGGTTATGTTGTCTACTTTTAGTCAAATTGGTTAATATAGCTATCTGTATCCGCTTTAGCACATTGCCCTGAATTGATATTTCGTTTGATTTATGTGCGCTTTTTTCATTTTATACTTCAGTTGCTGTGGATTTTTTTTATGAAATTAATGACTGTTTGTTACCCTTATTAAGAGCAGGATTAGGAAGACGGATTGGCATTTAATGTTTTTCCTTTATCTTTTTCCTTACCCCTCGTTGCATAAAAGGGTAATTTTAAACAAAATACAAAACAAAAACAAGAGAAGTATACAAATCTACTGTATAACGTTATGTTACAATTACAGTAAGCATGAAACCACAAAATGAGATATGAACAATTGAGTCATTAAAGCAACGAACCACTACATTCATTTTTCCATGGTAATGTTAACACTTTGAAGTCCAACAATGTTGTTGTATGAACTCCATCGATCCTATTTATCTCAAACGCGCCGATGAAACAGTGTCTGAAGATCTGTATACTTTCTTTTTAACTTACTGATTGCCTCTAGATGTTCTTTCCAGGCACTTTTATAATGCAATACTACATACAAATATAGGAATATATACCAACAACCTTTATCGTAACAAGGGCATTCAAGAACTAAAGAAACATGCATTAAAGCATGTTTTATTAACATATACATGGGCTATACATAACTACAAAATTAAGGTACTTGTACAATAAACAGACAATATATAACTTTACATGGACAGACTATGTATAGATAAAGTGATTTCTGTCGTCGGTGTGATATCATGGTATTACACGAATTGTAATACTTTACTTAAAATAATTCACATCAAAGTCTGACAATACCATAAATTTCTAAGCATTAGAGTATATATTGAAAAGCTTACTTCTCTTATGGTGTTTTCTAACGAATACTTACATGTAACAAGCAAAAAGCAGAAATTAATTTGATATTTGCCTCTTCAATAAGTTAAAGTAAAATTTAAAAAACTGTACAAATATGTCATTAAATTTCAATTTTCGTTTGATTGAGTCCTTAGTGCCAAAAGCAAACGGAAGTATTTTCGCTTAATTATTTTTTTGTAATTAATTCATATGTGAATTGTCCTAATCAGACTCGACCCTTTCGTGTTTGAACGTTT